TTAGGACGGCTAGTGTTCAAGCTATCGCTTTCCCAATATTCCACCTCAGATTTGGATGATTTTGCCGACCATGCTAACACCTTTCGTCAAAACTGATGACAAAGCCTATAAGACAGACAATAGCGGGCGAGCAGAAATTTTGGTTGCAAGCAAGAATAATCGTGCAACTTGCAAATCTATGTGCATAGGATTGGCCATGAATGCATCATGCATGACAGATTGAAAACAACCTCTATAAATCTTGTATAGACTTTTTTCTCGCAAAAACAAAACAAAATCTCGTATAGACTTCTACTATATACGTAGACCATAAAGAAAATGAGGCATGTGATGTTCCACACAGGAGTAGCTGCAGATCTTGGAATTTACTCGACTGGTTTTAATTCTTTTTTTTGCGAAAAACTTTCAATTTATTGATCTTCAATCATGGCAGTACAACGAACATCAGAAAATTGGTTTGTCTAGGATACATCTAGATGTGCCCTAGTTATTGCACATCTAAGTGTCTCAATCAAACTAGAAAGGAAAATAAAAAAGAGGAAAGAAAATGTTTGCACAAATCTCCGTGTAAAATCAAGGACATGGGACTTAGATGTGCAATACTTAGGGCACATCTAGATCTGCTTTAGCAAAATTGATAAAAATTACATCCAAATCCGTAGACCACCTAGCGACGACTACAAGCACTGAAGCGAGCCGAAGGCGCGCCGCCGTCATCACCCCTCCATCGTCGGAGTCGGGCACAACTTGTTGTAGTAGACAGTCGGGAAGTCGCCGTGCTAAGGCCCCATAGGACCAGCGCACCAGAACAGCAACCGCCGCAGATGAAGAATAACATAGGTTGGAAGGATTCAACTCAAAAACACACGAACATAGACGAACAACGACGATATCCGAGCAAATCCACCAAAGATAAATCCGCCGGAGACACACCTCCACACGCCCACCAACGATGCTAGACGCACCGCCGGAACGGGGGCTAGGCGGGGAGACCTTTATTTCATCTTCAGGGAGCCGCCGCCGTCTCGTCCTTCTAAACAGGAGAGAAACCCTAACAAGACAGGAAAAAAGGACTAAAAACGGAGCCCTCCCGCCGGCCCTTGGCAGGATCCACCGCGCCTCCATGGCCCTAGGGCAACCGGAGACAAGGCGGACCTGCGGTGGCGCCGGCGAGAGGCAAGAACCCTAACTTTCTTTCTTAGAGGAGGAGGGGCGACTTCGAATCAGGTGTTACTATCTTCGACTGGTTTTAATTCAGTCTGAATCTTGCGCCTCAGCTAAGAGACCTACGTGTGAACAATACGCACGCACGAAAGACTAGCTAATCTTGGAATTTACTCGGCGTCTACGTACGTAGGAACCCTAGCTTGTAGACTTGTAGTACTAGGATGAGCAGAGATGCTTCTGTAGCTTAGCTAGTAGGATGTTACGTCCATCCCCGTGGCAATAAATGATCGTGCATGGCAGATAATGAATGAATGCATGATTGCTTAATTTCTGACGTACAGACGTAGAAGAACAAATTGTCAGTTACGGGAAATATTAGCTGAAAACCTTTTCCTTCTTTTTGTGGGGGAGCTGAAAACCTTTTCCTGTGCATAACAAAAGTCGCACCTTTTAGTTAGACAAATTTTAGCATGCTCCCTCTTACCTCATCATTTCATAAAAGGCCTTGTTTGGACCTCGGGCAGTCGTTTTATTTCCAGCCGGAAATTGTTCAGCAGCCAGTGAGATATAACCGTAAATTAAACACCCCTGTATATCCCAAGCGCGGCCTAAGAGGTAAGAGTACATAATAGATCTGTGCCATTGATATGCTTAACTAGTGGTCTGATTAACGCTTATCTTCTTACCTTTCTAGTGCATGTTAAAATTACTCGAAAACTAAATAAAGAAAATGCATGTATGAGTATTGCGTTGAAGTTTACCTTTTCAGTTTGGGAGTATGTAGAGCACATTTCTAGGGCATGGTGTGGCCTTCTCTTCAGATCTTCCTGTATTCCTTTTTGGCAACGTAGTTGTGTGTGTTTTTTATGTTGTCTGATTATTTTTGGATCTGCTTACTACTATGGTTCGGCGGTGTACTTTAGTTTGTGCTTTCTATAAAACGGGGTTACAACTTGTTTGGGGAGAGTACAGAGTATGCGGAGCACATGTCACTACAAAGTTCTGAAGTTTCAATCATGTTTGCGCTCAAGAATTAAAGAGCAATTACACTTTCAAAAACTATAATTGTAGAAATAAAAGTACAAATTGCACCAATGAAAAAGTGTAATAGCACAAAAATGTGCAATTACAAAAAGGTGTAATTTCACAAAATAAATGTGAATATTGCACTAACAACAAAGTGCCGTTGCTTAAAATAGAAGTCTAGTTGCACAAAAAGGAGCAAGTCCAACAAATGCAAAATTAAACTAAAAAAATAGAAACAAATAACAAAAGAAGCGTGGCTGAAACTTCACTGAGTGTCTGTTTGAATATCACATAAGTGACAAAAACTAGCACCTCTATTGCTCTCGCGCAAAGACTTCTTTTTACGGGACAGGAAAAAGTGACAGCGGACTTAAACAACACTCAACGAAAATGTGAATGAAACTTCAAAAACTGATCATGTGCTTGCGTCTTAATATAATCCCGTTAAAGTATTCATACAAAAGTGTGTATGAACTATCCACATGGATGCATTTTTTTCACAATTTTTGAAGCTTAAAATGAGATTTTGGCCAATTGGCGAGATTTGAATGGTCCATGTCGGTGATTTTCGTATATGAGAAACAATAACCTCATCAGAAACGCGGCATGTGTATCACAGTATCATTGCATAAATTGCAGCTGATAAATTTCAGGAGCAGAGTTTGATGTATTAGGTGGCCGTTTGCCATTCAGTTGTGGTTCTCAGTTGAGGACATTCGGTCGGCACTTTTCGGCCCGTTGGATAGATAGATGTACACTGCTTTTTCGCCTAGTTTCTACAGAAATCCACTACTTCTACTACCTACA